GGTTGGCAGACCGTGCTCTAGGAGAAAAGATGGTATTTTTTGGTCACTCCGTCTCCGGACCCAAGGAAGTTCCGCATCAGTTGCTCTAGGCGAGAGCGCACTGATGCCGGAATGTAGAACATGGACATCTGGAAGATAGCGACCCCTGAAAGAACTGCTTTGATGAGGGTTAGTCTGTCGGCCTGGTAAAGAACCTCCCCTTCCAAGAAGCCAGTTTTCTTTAACCTTATCTATTGTATGACTCCAATGGGCCTTTTGGGTTCCCCGTAACAGAAAAGCAGACCGAGGTAGGTCGATGGTAGAGAGTCGATGCTGCAAGCTCAACTGTTGGCGAAGGATTGGAGGACTTTAGGGTCCATGAGGATACCAATTATTTTCGATTTCTGTAGGTTAACCTTGAACTCAGTTGCGAAATGGAAGCATTGTAGGAAGAAGAGCAAGTTGTTGACTTGCCTGATATCTGCTTCACAAAACAGAAGGTGTCGTCAGCATATTGGAGATGCGACACTGTCGAGCCCTATGCATCAATCTGAAAACCCTTAGCCAAGCCTTATTGGTATATTCTGGCAATGGTTTTGCTAAAGACTTCTGCTGCAATTGCAAAAAGGAAAGGGGATAAGGGGTCGCCTTGTCTGAGGCCTCTGGAGGACCCGAGAATCTCTAGGGGAGCCGTTGATTAGGATCGTGAAGAAAGGACCTCGGATACAACCCCAGATCCATTTCCTCTACCTAGCACCGAAGCCCATCCTTCTTTTGGTTTCTTCGAGTACATCCCAATCGACATGATTATATGCCTTTTCCCTGTCCAATTTGACGATGAGGCCAGGGTTTTTGGAAGACATTCTAGAATGCATGCATGTGCTACTAGAGCACCATCAAGGAGCTGGTGATCTTTGACAAAGGCGCTTTGATTAGCGGAGATAACCGAACTTAGAACAACTTTAAGCCTAGAGGCCAGCACCTTGGGCAAAATCTTGTAGGAACTTTTGGTTAGGGTAATAGGTCAGAAGTCTTTGAATTCAACTGCCCCTTTGATCTTGGGTATGAGGGCGATGAAGTTAGCATTCATCCCTTTGTGAATAATGCCCCGTTCATAGAATTCGGAGAAAAAGGCTAAAAAGTCGAGGCGCATAATGTCCCAGTGATGATTGAAGATGGCCACTAGGAATCCATCAGGCCCCAGAACATGGTCTTGGCATAGATCCTTGATTGCTAATAGGATCTCTGATTCAAGGAAGGGCCTTTCCAGCCACTGTGCCTAATCGAAGGATAAAGTTTGGAAAGTAAGGTCGTGCATTTGTGGTTGGATCAGGATGGGGCTTTGAAGAGCTGTTTGAAATATTCTAACTGTTTCTTCTATAGCAATAGGTTCATCAATAATGGTACCCGTTGTGTTGGATTTGGCCTATTGAATTGTTCCTTCTTCTACAGTTGGCAATCCTATCGAGGTCCCCGTAGTTAAGCCATTTGACCTTGGACCTTTGCACCCAATGCATTTACTCTTTCCTAAGGATGGACTGGAAGTCACCTTTGAGTTGTTGACGGAGAAGAGACTCATCAGGTGACAGGGAGTGGGTATCTTCTAGGGTGTAAAGATGGAGGATAGAGTCAAGAATCAGGGACTTTTGGTCGTGGAAGTTCCCCGGCAAAAGACTTTGAGAGATGACTTAAGAAGGGTGAGCTTCTTTTGGAGTCTCAAACAAACCCACCAGCGGGCCAGGGGTGAATAGGAAGACCACACGCCTTCAAGTTAGCACTGAAATTAAGTTCTTCCATCCAGTACAGCTAGAACTGAAAAGGCTTGGGTCCCCTAGGTATGGGGTTGGTATCTAAAAGAACAGGTTTGTGGATATCCCTCTCCAGGGCACAACTCAAACTGAAAAGGCTTGGGTCCCCTAGGTGAGAGGGAAGTTGGTGTCCCAGTCAGGGGAGCATGGGAATCAGTCTAGTTTGAAGCGAGAAGAGTTGTTCGATCAGGTGTATCCGGTACCTCGGATGAAGTCAGCAAATGCCAACATGGCCGGTGTGATTTAGGTGACAAATTCGTTCGTGGGACCACCTGGTGACATTGAAGTCACCACTAATGCACCAGTGAGAGGGAGGATGCACCGCAACATCATCGAGTTCTTGCCATAGAGTGGCCAGATCGGGGGTAGAGTTGGGTCTGTAGATTACCGAAAACATCCAAGGCAGCCCATCTAAGATATGGCTAAGGGACACCATAGCAGAGTATGAAGCGATCTAGCAGTCAACTAAGGCAAAAGAAGAGGGGTCCCAGATGCCACCAGACGCTCCCTGGGCCAAACCCATTGGCAAGGTCTGCAGCCCCACACTTGTCGGACTTGAAAGAGAGAGGGCTGAGGGAGTTTTAGTCTCGATCAAGGCCAGGAGAGTGTTTGAGGTAGAAGTCGTGGACTGCCTGAGTCTTGCGAGCTGAGCCAAGGCCCCTAATGTTCCAGACCGAGGCTTTCATATTCTGGGAAGAGATAAAGATCTCTGGACGAACATCGAGGAATAGGTCACAAACGAGAGGTAGAAGGGAAAGGCAGGGAGCCAGGATGCCTAGTGCCGGACGGTCAAAGTTAATCCCGCAGGAGAGGTTAGCGAGCTCCCTGGAGCCTTGATTACTTACTTTCAATGTAGATTCAACATTAAAACTAGAGAAAGATTCTACATCCTCCTTAGAGTTGTCGAATTTGAAGCCTATGACGCCCATCACCTTGTCGACACTGCCCTGAGCATTGTCCATGTTTGAGCAGAAATTGGAGCCCACTGACATAGAAGGAGACGAGTAGGTAGAGGAACTGCTGAAGTGCTCAGAGGGTAGAGGGGCCCAAATGTTGCTCGTACTGGCGGGAATCCAAGTAGAGCTTCCAACTCACGAGTTGAATCTCTCTCTCTCTCTACACCAAGTAGGAGGAAATTTCAATTTCATTACTGCAAGATATTACCGGGAATCACTCAACTAGCTAGGTAGGGCAGAATCACTGACGACAGAAGAGGGATCACCCCACTCGAATAAGTAGCAAGAAAATGATTGCAAATATTTCTTTTTCGTTCAAAATACGTTGTCGTACCTTCATTGTACTGTTTCTTATTCTTTTGGTCCTTTTGTAAAATAAATATGGCCAAGGCATATCTTTGTAATATTGATTATTTCAAAATGCGGCCGCATAAAGCATTATGGGGTCGCATAATGCAGTATGCGGCCCGAGTGCATCCTTCCAGACCGCATATGCGAAAAAAATGTGATGCGCCCAGCCGCACCACCCGCATCAATTTTCTTTGGGTTAATTAGTAAGTTTTTCCATTTCCTAATACTTCTTTTTTGGGGGCAACGTCATCATCAAGTAACCAGAATCCGGTATGGAAATATGCTAAATTCAAAACCTTCAAGATTGAAATCGCTATATGTACTCTATGCGGGAATACTTATACGGGGAATATTTTTCAGCGAAAGGAAGACCTAGCCGGTATTACTAAAAAGGTTAAAGCATGCTCACAACCAATGAGATTGGAAGAGAGATTATGACATACATAAGTAGCTGAGAAAAATCAAAGAAAATAAGAAAATGAGACAAAAATAATTGCTAGAAGAAATTCAAGTATTTGATAACTTGTTTGATTGAGAGCTGATTATCCTTTTTTTCAAAAAACTGAGAACTGATTATCCTTTTCTTCTATATATCATGAACTTTCTGGCTTTGCCTTGTTGGAGTATGAACTTTAAAGTTTGGAATTTTGGATATTTTATATGAGATGGAGCGGATTGCTTTGTTTTACATGTTAAGTGTGTTAGACATTTGAATTATTAAAGATTAGAAGTTAGAACAACATATTGAATATATTAAAATACCTACTATCACATAAATCATATTTTTATGTTCTATTTCTATGCGTTCTTCTATTTTTTTGTGCTTTTTAACATTTTTTATGTTTTCTAACCGCATTAGATGTGATGCACATGCATTGAGCTACATCACTACATCAGATGCCAACCGCATTATCCACCATTTAAGAACACTGGTAGTATTCTAGATCACTGGTGGTAATGCTGTACTTGTACATCCTTTTCCTTTATACTAATATGAGAGCCATGTGACCAAGGGGGAACATGACCATTCAAGTTCTTGTCTAGTTGCATGGACTCTTCTCCTTGAAACCTTCTTGACATCTTTCCCATTTTAATGTATTTTAGGGAAGACCTAAGAGATCAAGAGTGTCACTGGTTCTACCATGGTATCAGAGTAGGTGTATTGCATATCAAATGTCTTCTGATGATTAAATTAGGATTCCTACACCCTATCTCCCTGTTGCAACAATCCCTCACTTTTTTGGTTAAGCTTTATCATCGTAGTTATTTGACCTAAAAGATTGCCTATCAGATATAATAGAAACTAAGTGGATCTATCTTCCTCTACTACTTTTGTCAGATAAAACTCCATTTTTCTTCTTCACCGAAATCTGGGGTATTTCTTATGGTTGTTTGAAGACTTCAATCGAGATTTAACCTTCAATCCATTTCTGGAAAGGGGACTGGTTTCTAGATTTGGCTGCTATGAGTATTTTGAGGGCATTCCAGCACTTATTTCCTCGTTTCCAATTTCTTCAAATATTTTGAGGGGCAGTACACTACTTACTTCCTGGTTTTCCATTCCTTCTAATGTAGTGTTCCCTTTCATTATTGTGTGTTTGAACTCTAGTGTTGCTTAATAATGGCTATGGGGAAACATCACATGTTGTGCCTCCCAATCTCAAAATGGGAGAAAGTATTTCCTTTGGTCATCCATCATGAGAAACTCTTTAAGGGGCAAAGATTTGTTTGGGATAGTTGATAGGTCAACATCTAGACCTGTTGATTAAAAAGGTGCCAAAAAATGGAGAACTGGAATACTGGTTTAACTCCCAAAGAAAGTAAAAAATAAAGCTGGATTCTCCAATCAGTTGAGGACAGTAATGCACTGGATTCAGCTATTTTCACCAAGGAGATGTGGGATTACCTGAAGAAGATATGATCATGCCAAATTGAGCAGGAGTTGATGAAAATAGGAACACACGAGTATTACTTTACTTTGCTCCACGTAACTTTGTGGAATGAGATGGGATTGATGAAAACCATCGTGATGTAGGGACATTGATAGAAAGTGAAATCAGCAAGAAAACAAGCCATGCACAAGCACAATTTGAAGAAACCTAGGGTTTCTTCCCTAACCCAGCTAGGGTTTCAAAAGCCTAGAGCTCTTCTTTCTTTTCTAATTCTGAAAATCACGTGGAATGACTCCCTCAAGGCCCCACCATATCTCATATATTATAATGTAATATTCAAAGACATTAAACGCCCATACAATAATTAAATGATTCAAAAGGTCCTAACCTAAACACATAATTTGTAATGATAATTTTACCTCTATGAACAGAACAGTACCCATGAATAGTACTTGGGAAGAGTATTCAGTGAACAGTAAATAAAATTTTTTTAAAAAATATTAAAATCCCAATAAATTTAAAAACCCTAAAACTAAAATCAAAATATACATCTTTGAAATTGAATAAAATTAAAAATAAAAATAATTTTGTCCTGCATCATTCTCCCCTAGTTGGAGAAAACTCGAAGAAAACAAGCCACGCACTAGGAAAATTTGAGAAAGCAGTAAATCGGCAAAAAAGAAGCTAAACACAAGCACAAGTTGAAGAAACCTATGGTTTCTTCCCCATATCCCAAGCTAGGGTTCTAAAAGCCTAAGCTTTTCTTTCATTTTCAATTTCTAAAACTCATGTGGAATGACCCCCTCAAGGCCACACACCTCTTATAAATTATAATTTATTGCTCAAAGATATTAATATCCATACAATAATTAAACTGACCAAAAAAGTCCCAACTTAAACAAAAATTTCGTAATAACAATTTTATCCCTATGAATGTAACCTGTGAACAGTACTCATGAATAGTACCTATAAACAGTACCATGAATAGTAACTAGTCAATACTAAATAAAAAATATAAAATAATCCTAGAATCCTTGAAAACTTAAAAACCCTAAAAATAAGCTCTAAAACTAAAATCAAAATGTACATCCTTTGAAATTGAATAAAAATTGAAAATAAGAATAATTTTTTGCTTGCATCACATCAGTTCCTAAAGTAGCCTGGGGAATTATGGATTGAGTGCCATATCCCATCTACACTGATTCGAGATGAGTTCCAATTAACTAAATCTTCATTCTTTAATAGATATGTGATGCTTGACTAGGACATAGCACTGGTAGAATTGCTAACTAAAGAAACATGATACAGTACTTTTGGCTTCTAGTAAGGTAAAGAGTACGAAATTTTAGTATAGTGTTACGTTAGCAAAGAATATGACTATATACCATCTCAATGTCTCAAGAATCCGAATGTCATGCTATTATTGTAAGGAAGTAGTACATATTACTTCTATGAGTAAGAAGAGGCCTCCTAAAAATCTAAAGTTGCATGGCTTTGTTGTTAGTGTTGGTGAAGACATACTTAGATGCAAGAAGTTACATGTGCAAATTCCTATGCCTACACCATAGTAACGGGAATGGGAGCAACAAGAGCGCCGATATCGGGAGTGGAGGCGCGTTGTGAGGTAGGCTATAAAATCCGGGGTTCAGGGAATGAGGTCTGCACATATTTAAGTTAAGGGATAGAAATCCTTGACTTTTAGGGAGCATGTTCCATATCTGCACTAAATGGAATTCCTAACTAAATGGGATCACAATCTGCCATGATTAGGATCAAGGTTCCCTAAGTTCACTTAAAGCGAATTCCATCGAACAATATCATCATCATCATCATTGTCAAAGCCTTTTCTCACAATGATACAAACATCTTAGACTTTACATATCACTAAAAATCAACTCTAAAACAGTCCCCTTATTGGGCAAGGGGAAATATCCCCGTACGCCCCCTAGTTTTGGTTTTCAGATCTCAATAGACCTAAAGATTCAAAATATATCTTCTAACGCCTTAACTAACTTTACACATTTTTAACTATTTTTTTAGCCCTAACAAATATAAAAAAGACATGCTCATTCTAAACCCTTAGGGGTGAGAGATACAAGGGAGAGAGTGTGGGAAACTAGATAGAGAGATAAATTTAGGGGAAAATCACATGAAGCGAGAGAAATGATGGTGTTTAGAAAGGATATATCTTTTTTATATTTGCTCGGTGTAAAAAAATAGGTTTAAAGGGGATAAAGTTAGCTTAGGGGGTTAAAAGATACAAAACTTATAATATTTATGCTCTAAGATATGTTTTAAAACCTTGGGTTTATTGAGATATAACTTAAAAATGAGGGGTATGAAGATATTTTTCCTATTGGGCAAATTACATGCCACTCACACCAACTCAAAATTGAAACACTTAGTTACATACAGTAGACATACACCATCACATAATCAAATTACATGAACCAAACTGCCCCAACAGTTGTAACAAAGAATAATAACAATAAACAGAGGTATTAGTGCCAACAATATTTAGGAAGCCAATAGTTCGAACCCTTTGTGCCCAGTCCACGATTGGAGCTTTTGAGGACTTAATTTTGTCCCACAGATGAGTGCACAAGTGGTTTATTTAACTCAAAGGTATCTATCCAATTTGGGAAGCTTAAACATCTTTACAAACACTTCATATGGTCCATAATCAATAATAAAATCAACCCACAACAGTTTGCAAAAAGAATGAGGGAGATCCGATCAAAATCGAGGAAGATGTATCAAAACTTTGTAGTATAGACTACCACTAAAATGGGATTGCATGCAAAAGTGTGGACTCTAAATGATTCAAAGAGGTAATAGATCTTTGGAATTTGAAATTAAGTATAAGAAATGCATCAGAAAAATTTGTGTCGAGAGAGCTTCCATGAACTCCACACACAAGTCATTATAGATCTTGTTCCATTGCACTCCATTGATCATATTTGGAGCTTTAGGGTGATCGTTCACTACATGAGATCAAGTTTGTGTTAAGCAATCATCGAGTTTTCCCTTATTGTTCTTCATCATCTTCCACTTCAAAGCTTACTGTAAATTCTTTGTTACAGTAGCTTTGTAATCTTGTTACCCTTTGCTTCATGTGATCTTTATGGTTGCCTTTTATAGGGTAGTCATCCATTTGAATATAAGCTTCATACTTTGATGATCCTTTGATTGAGCATCGTTTACCCACCCAGATGAATGAATGAGATTTGTTACCTTTATCGCCCACTAAAACCTTAAGTCAAAGTCACATTTACCTTTTTGTCCTTAGCCCCATACTTTTATTCCAAACATATCCAATTGTACTTACAGAAATGCCCTCAACATTTCTTTAATTCAAGAGGGCAAGAATATTCAAAGGCAAGGGGTAAACTAGTAAATGGTAAAAAGGATACCACCAATAGGATCAACCCAACCTACACCCTTCACATGCACTACACACCTTCACATGAGTGACACCAATGAGGTGCATCCACATGAAATATTCACATGCCATATTTCCTATGTAGATATTAATTTTAATAATCAATTTTTATTTCAAAATTCCTTTGGCTTCACAGAAGCCAAACATGCCATATGTGTGACAATTACCCATGTGATTAAAATGTAACTTTAAGTTGTAACCATCTAACATAAGGTTTGAAAATCAAATTAAATAATTAGGTGTCAAAAGAGGATCCACGCCCAAACTAGAAGGGGGCCCAATGTGAGGGGCCCATGGTGCCACGTGGCCACCCTATGGCCACTCAAGTGCCATGTGGCATCTGCATGGATGTCCTCATTTGGAATTAAAGTCAAACAATTTTGAAAACACATTCTCCAAAAATCTCAATAAATATTTAAAACATGTTTACATATTTTTACATCATTTCTCATCGTAATTAAATTAGACTAAAGGTACATGTAAGATCTCAAGGCTTTGAGTCTTTGACTTAGTAACGTGAGTACTCCATTGGGCTAGTCCCGAATGCTGTTCCACCGGTGTCTTAAGTTGACCCAACAGACTTATGCTCCACAGTTTTGGCAAAGATACATAATTGGTCACATCAAAGTTATTGAGCCAAAGCTTATTACCATCCGGCTTCTTAATGGATTATAAGTTAACCATTGTGGGACATTTTACTACTCTATTACATGGGTCCTCTCAAAGCACATGTACAAATGCTCTTCCAATGTCGGATAATACATATGGAAGAGTGGCTTCCCATGCGAATGAATGTACATATGCCATAGAAAGGTCTCATGTCAGGATACGGACTCACGTGCTGTAAGTCTTGACCATTCTATACAGGGCATGCTCTCATCACAAGATACTCACGTTCTTTTTACACTTGATTGGCGACTCCAATCCTTGGCTAATCACATCAAGCTAACTCATCTGCCACTGTAATTGCCTTCTGAAAAATGTGTTTAATAAGTAGGTGCTGACAATTGGCCGTAGTTCTATTAGTTCTCTAAAAACTATTGGTGGCTTTCGAAAATTTCTAAATCAATGGCAGAATCACACTTTATAAAACTAATGGCTCATTTGTGGATTGTAGTTACCCCTATCTTACCACTGTTTTCTTGGTTTAAATGATGGAACAATCTTCTCCTTGTTTTATTTATTTATTTATTTAATAGAAAGGTCATTGAAAGGGATGTCTAACTACCGTAATATATAATCCCTTTGCTGCAGCCCTATATGGCCACATTAGTTAGGCAATTTGTTATTATATTTCCTTTCCAGTCATGATGCTAAATATTCAGTAAGTGCATACTGAGAATGAGACTGTACTTCTATAAAATAAATATGTTTCTCCACATGATCTAGGGATTCTCGTCTAAGCCAACAAATCATATCTAGGTAATCACTTTGGATAATGGCAATCCTCAAAGTTGTATTTAGGTTTCTCAATTTATCCAAGACTGTGTTACGACAGCCAAAGAGGCCTCAATACCAATACTTTTGCGTGGAACTTCTTCTAATTCGGGCTCTAGATTCTTCAACTTCAAATATTCTAACATTGCATCCTAGCCATTGGCTCCAAATAATTGCTAGTACTGTAATAACCCTAAAATTTTTGGAACTGAAAAATAAAAAAATAAAATAAAAAAAATA